TTTAGGAAAGTGAAAGTAAATCACCAAGATGCGTTTACCACTTTATTATGTTCTCTTTGCCCAGGTCAGAGTGGTGAACACGGCATTATAATAAATCCCTCTAAATATTGCATGTTTATTGTTGTCGTTTCCTGGCCTCTGTGTTTCCTAAATCTGCATCTGGCCGCCTGCCATTTTTTTTATGATACTTATCTTGCAACATGAGCATTCCTCAGTGAGGCAACTGTGGCAACTTTTCCCAGATGAACTCGAGAGGAGAGAAGCTTCAGGCCATTTCCAGAAAAGTTGAAAGGTTTAATAAAATGTTCAAAGTCTGTAACCTACTGTATTAACCTCAAAACAGTAACAAAGTAAATCAAATAACTATTATTAAATGAAACTTTCTGCTGTGATAATGATGAAAGCGCTATTCTTTCTCCTTTTCTTGCTTAATGAACAACATCAGAGGAACAGACAAAACTTTGTTGTTGTTTTGCCACTTTTGCAGACTCTTTAGGGTTTACACGCCTGGGAACGCATCCTACAGGTTAAGTGGAATCTCATTGTAAAAGATTTAAACATGTGATGAGTGATGCTGTAAAACAGGTTACAAAGAAAGGAAAATGAAAATGTTTGTGTATCTGTAATAACAAAGAATAATACTACGTCTCATACGTTGACATTTAAAAAAGGGATTCTAACAAAAAGAGACGGAACTATGAATAAAATACTTTCTATTGTCTTTTCACACCCTGTGGTGTTATTTTTGCTGTACTTGGTGTTTCAGATAAACATTTAAGACATTTAGAGGAAGATTAAATTTGAATCTTGATATTGTAAAAAAAAAAAAAAGGAGGGGGGGCGAAGATGGATACACACAGTTTAATGTGTTCATTATTTAAGTTTAATGTTTTTTCTGCGCTCATTTATAGGTTATTTATTGATTAATATATTGCATGTGATTGCTTATTTATATCTAGTCATTTTAAAATTATCACTCTTATTTTACAAACTTTGTATTTATTGCCTAAGATGGAGTAGCTTTCAACAAATAAGCAATTTCCCGTTGGTGATCAATAAAGTATATTCTATTCTATTCTATTCTATTCTATTCTATTCTATTCAATAAAGAGGAAATCTGTAACTGTCTAAAGTGACTGTAGGAAAACAAGAACCCAGTCAATCATGTTGAACTCAAAGTCATTCTTTTAAATTCAGTGAAAGGCAGCATAATGTTAACAAGCACTCAAATTGTTCTTATTCCTGTTAAGCCACTGCAACTCATGAAAAACCTCAAAAATTACTTTATTTGAATAGAAAGATCCGCTTTTCCCTCGTCTTATCAAGACTAGTGGAAATCTCTACATCGAGACATCAGATTGATCTGAGATAATATTTTATTCCAGATGGTGTTTTTACACCCTGGAAGTCGCTGTGATGTGAAAACACTTTAAAAATGTTTTAGGTTGAATCGTGTTTTGGTCGTGTAGAATTTAGTAAGCTTTTGAAATAACTTATAACACTGAAATAACAGTGTGGAGTCAGATTTCACAGAACGAGAATCAAACAGAGAAGCTCCTTGGATTTTCCAGATCTGATCCACTTATTTGAAATTAAGTTGCATCATTATTCATCGTAGCCAGTTGTTGCTTCAGCATATTTTACATGTGAAGTTCCAGAAAGTGCTTTTATTTTTTGCTTTCAAATAATTGCGGTAGAGACAGAAACAGACCAGACACAGTAAGATAAAGTTTTGATAGTGTTTCATATTGAGAATTGCAGTTCCTGAGTCCAGTCCTGTTCGTAAACAGGTGGCAGAACAAAAGCAGAGCCAAAAAAACAAAAAGCATAAATTGAAGGTAGATGCAATGGTTCTCCTGTTCCTTGAATAAGTTTCTCATACAAATAAAATAAAAAGGGCTTCTTCAGTTCTCAACAATCTCATGAACTGAAGTAATATTTTGGAGGAAATGTCTACATTTGCTTTATAAATAAGATAAAAAAATCTGTTTGTCTTTTGTCTAAGTGATTAAATTGGCCATTTCCTCGTGACTGAGACTCTACACCGACGTACCCAGGTCAAAACTGAGGTGTGTCTTATCAGCTTATCTAAAGCTGGTTTTGAAGTCATTACTTCCTCCTGAATATCCCCTTATCCCAGGGGTTTCCAAAGTCAATTCTCAAGGGTCACTGTCCTACTTATTTCAGTTCGCTCCCTGGTTAAACACCCAGGTAGCAATGCTAAGTTCCAGTTGTACTCAGAACTGGAAAATTCCGACTTTCCCAGAAGGAAAAATCAACTGGAATGCCCCATAAGTCTGACTAACCCCACTGTGACTTGAGATACGGCAGTATGGTGGAAACGTGCTTATCTTACCAGACACACGTCTAAAATCAATGTTGATTGTGGCTTCTGTAACTCTAAACTGAACAAATGAAAAGTGCTGTTTGCATTGCAAACAATCTTTATGGGCGTCGCCATGTTTAAATTGTGACTTCTTCTCTGGACTGACGTCAAACTCAGCCTCAAGTTCCAACTTCCCAGGAAACCAGAATGGCATTACTGACTCCTCAGCAGAAAAACAAACCATCAAGTGATAAAGATGTGATGAAGATGTGCTGAACCAGGGAAAAAAACTAAAACACGGTGGAGAGCAGTCCTTGATGACTGAAGTACAAGGAGATGATCAGCAACTTTACAAGCTGGTGTGAGGCCAACAACTTTCAGATCAACCAAGACAACGGGGATGGTGACAGACATCTCCAGTGAACCAGAGATTATGGAAGAGTAGAAGTACCTGGACTGGTCCTGCAACCGAAACTCTTTGGAGAAAGAGGGACAAAGTCGCCTCCATCCTCTGAGATCTGCATCTGCAGTGTTTCATGCTGCACTTTGGGACAGAAAGAGACTCAATTAATAAAACATTTCTATTGTATTCAGTTCTTTCCATATTCCTCCTTTACCCTTTCCAAACAGTTCCTTTAAATTTCAGAGTTCAATCTCATAATTTAATAGTTCGCATCGTGTTGATCAAGTTAAATCTTCCTTCAGTTAATGACTCCGTGAGCATTCGTTTATAATGTTTGCATTGCAGTGAACATTTGCAATTACTTTTATGGTCCCTAGAGTTCATGTTTGTTGATGTTATATTTTGTTTCTTTACTTAGATAATTATAAAATATATTAGTGTGATTACTAGTGAGTTAATTATTGATTCTAAATGTGACTTATAAAAAGATAATTTGTGAATCTCAGTTGGAGTGTCAACATTGGGGTTCTGAGAATAATTATCCATCCAGAAACATAATACATGATTGTAACTTTAAATGACTTTTGTCTCTTTATAGTTTCGTAAGCCAGGTAGGGAGCGGCCTGGATTACTTACATAAACATTTTTCTTTTTACTAATCACCATTTAATAATTTCTTACTGACTGTGCGCTGTGTGATACTCCTGGCTTCTAATCTAAACAAGACTTTGTTGGACTGAGTTAAAACAAGGTGTTCTGAACAGACTGGTAGTGAACTCGTCTGAACTAAATGTCTCATCAAAACTTTTATTTGCAATAAACTCAACTGAATAAGCAACTGGACTCGCGATTTGCACAAAGTTTAACCGTTCATTTTAAATGTGAAGAGGGTGTTGTGTATGATAATAGCAGATATTAGTAACAGCGTTATTTAACAAGAGAAAAAAATGTTATCATCACATGAAACAAAATCAAATGATAGTTTGATCAATAACACTTAAATAGCACACGATTCCTCTGGGTAGAAAAAGGTAGAAAGGACAAAGACAATTTTGCACTGTAAATAAATTTAATAGTTGCCAAAATCTCAGTCCGTTTATAAAAGACCGAGTCCAGATTATAGAAGTACATTGGACAAATAAACCACTTTCAGAAATGAGCTGATTTGTAAATCCATATTTTAATGTCAAACAAGGGACTTGTTTAAAATGTATAAAATGTTAACATTAATACATCATAATCAATTCTCTCGAAGTATCGTTTTTTTTTTCTTTTTGCTAATAGAACAGAATGTACATTAAGGCAATTGTTGTCTCATTTTAAGTAAATTAGACAATAAAACATAAAAATCTATTTTATCCAAAACTCTACAATTCAGACCCTCAGGTTGTGCAACCTTAATATTTTAGATGCATCCTTCCTTTAACAGAGGTCATTATGAACCCCAGCATGGATTCATGTTCATCCAAGATCAGGGAGGCAGAACAACGAAAACATCTAAATGAAGACAAAATTTTATTCCGACTATCTACAACACAGGCATGCATGGTGTGTTCTAGTCTTCAGATCAATTACTCATGTATATGGTAAAAAATACAAATTTAGGCTATAAAAAAAGTAGGCCAGAAGCCGGGAGGAGCAGTTCTGCATAATATGATGTCCAAGCTCTGCTTTTCTGCATCCTGTGAATAAATAATAGTTGCTCTTGGTGCAACAAGTGACTACATACAGCTTGTTTCATTTACCTTTTAACGCTGAAATGTCATTCTTTCTATAAGACACTAAATGATGGCATTCAGGAGATTTCTTTCTACTTCTACATGAAATCATTTTTTTATAAACGAAGCACAGTCCAAAGTGAAAGATTTCACATGAAGGAACAATCAGAGAAGTTATGCAAGACGGTTGATGATTTGACAAGTCCAACGGTCAAAGTGCATGAGCATGGGTAATCTCCGCTTAATTATTGGAGCTTCAAATCTTTCAACTGAGCAGTTTTACAAAGCTGAAGTCAAAAAAAAAGATTCAAAAAGGCTTTGATGATGAAGGGTTTCCTTACAGCAGCACTGGCAAAAATACATTTAACGAAAAGTCAGTTGAACTCTGCTGCGGGTTTAGCAACGTGATCAGCTTGCAGCGGTTTGTGCTGCAAGTGGAGAGGTGGAGAGGCATTCACTGTCTTATCCTCCTCAATGCTAAAAACAAACAGTATCAGCTGAATCTATGGCAGGAATCCAGTGTGTTGCAGAGAAGTGAGGCAGATTTTAAAAAAAAATGGTGCAGAAAAGCCTGTTTGTCTTCATCAGGTTCTTAACAGGAAGTTTTAGTTTCCACGAGTAATAAAAAAAAAGAGGAGATGGATTGGGTATGAAAAACAAAATCTGATCAAGAGGTATAAAAAGGGTATTTAAGAAAAATCTTCTTATGCTATGTTCAAGTACAGAGATCCTCTTTACAGCAGTTTACAGTCATTTACACAAACACATAACTTTAAAATGCAGCCCTGCCCAAGAATATTTAATTCAAAATCCTCCATTATAGTTTTTAAACTACACATGCAGTAAAAAAAAAAAAAAAATCTATTTACAACAAATATCAACAAATGCCTAATTCAAACTAAACTACATCCTGCTTCATACAACTTTTACACTTGAGGGTTCAAAATGATTGAATGCAGCTACTTCATCAATCACTGCGGCGCAGCATCACCCTCTCTCAGGATGAGTCAGAGATCTGATGACACTGACAGAAAACGGGATGAAAATGGAATGAATCTCCCATTAAGCATGGATGGGAGCAATGTGCCCAAATGGATGAAACTCTAGTAAAACCGGACATCTTTACAGCCATTAGAGAATTAAGTAGCGCATAAAGTTATCTTATCTCTTTTCATTTGGCCAGATGGTCTGCAGAGTCTCTTCAAGAAAACTTTTTCAAGCTGAGGAAAACCCGTGGAGAACCGCTACAGATAAACTGTCTTTGTCCGAGTCGGCAGAGTCGCCACAACGCTTCCGCGTGTACAACTGGGAGAGCAGTTCTGCAAAAGCCACCACAAGACGATGTTTCACGAATCGAATGATGCATTGTCATCACTTTTTCTTTCCTCTGAGGCCGGTGGACTCGTGCTCGCGTCCTGACTGGAGCCCAGCGGCTTGGCATTGGCACGCGTCGACCGCTGTCGCCGCGTGCCGTTTCCGATGCAGCGCATGAGGTTTTTGAACGTTGTCCACATCTCCTCGTCCTTGTAGGAGTAAATGCAGGGGTTCATGACGGAGTTGGCAACAGCCAGAAGCAGCATCAAGCTCTTCAGTTTCTGCAGCTTACAGTCCTCGCATTTCAGGCCGTCCAAGAGCATGACAATAAGACCGGGGGTCCAGCAGACCACAAAGGCTCCTAAAAACAGAAACAACAATTATTATCATAAATGTGTCGTAACTTCTACATTTCCTGCAGTTGTGACAATATAATGTAGTTTCACAATTCATACATCTTTGAATGAACAAAAAACTGTTTTCTGCATGCATTTTTTAACTTCCACAAGTAACTCAAACAAATAAAATATGAAAAGCAACTGAAATATTAGTCAGTTCAAAGAGGGAATTAAAACTCCAAAACACAGCAAAAAGGAACAGAAATAGACAGTTTTTGTCAAATATGCAGAAGTGGTGCATCATAATGTACTGGGAGGCGTCACAAGTCATTGATTGATATTAAACTGTAGAGTTTTAATTGCTTTTGTTTGGCATATTTCTTGCTAAACAGAATGATTTCATCAATGCAGGAGTCACAAAAAATATTTTTGTAACATATTAAAGCTGAAGTAAACACTTTCTGAAAGTCAAAGATCCACAGAGAAAATGAGTGAAGACGGGAACGATTTTTTTTTTCTCATTGGACCAAGCCCAATTAGTGATCAGATGGCCCGAAAATAAATGTCCAATCTTTTCTTCTAGATCAGAGATTCATCACATCAGACCGACAAAAACACTCTTCAGTGTGAAAGATTTATGCTGGAGGAATTTAGCTAATTTCAGTATCACTGAAAGATAAATATTTCACTTCAGAGGAAGAGCAAAGTGTGTCAGGGACTCCTGAAAAGGAAAGTGCGGTTTCTGTAAAGGGATATCTGCTTTTTTGGGCTGATAGAGGAAAGATTGCTCTGATTTATCCTCCGAGTTTTCAGGCTCCAAATATTAAGGAACATGCTGGAATTGGACATGTTGGCCGCCTTTGAAAATCTTGCAGGGAATGCAAGATAGTAATTGATGCTACCGACAGGTTAATAAAATATTTCGATTCTGTTATGTTGCTTTTATTTCTGAAATAATAGTGAAATACTGTTTAGCTGCAGAGATAAGTTCATTTTATTCTCTCAAACACAAAATGCAACAGAAATTAGGTAGAAATTAAAAAAATCATCTATCACATAGAAAGACTTTTCGGGCACCTGTATGCCTGAGTGATAAACAATTTTACATTATTCTAATTTAATTGTCCTTAGCTAATAATCTGAGAAGTGAGGTAATACTTTTTAGTTGGACTTTGTAACTTTGAGCTGTTCTTAGGACATAAAGGCTTCATTCTGATATGAACATTTTATTGCAAAAGACTCAGTTCAATTTTAAATTTAAAACTTGTTATTTATAGGTCTTCTAAAGGAATCAATCTGCTAAAATCTAAACGAATCTACCAGACCTTTACAAAATATGCTGATGGGAACCTGGACACAAAACCTCTGTTTTATGCGTCTCAGTGATGCACAAAACAATCTTCTGTGTGTAATGCAAACATGCACCTTAGTTTTCTGCAATCCTACACTCCCCTTTTGTAAGGAAAACCTCCTTATCTGTCTGTAACATTAGTGCAACTCATCCCTTCTGAAGAACTATTTAAAAAAAAAGGTGTGTCCTGGTTTGCAGCTAATCTCCTTATTCAGACTCTGTCGGCCTTTAACTCGAACTGGAAAAGCAAATTAGACATTTACTCCAAGCATGTTGGGACACAAGTTGCAGAGGGAGGAAGCTGCAGGCGGTGACTTGTCTGCACTACCAGCATTTCTGCAAATATACAGATGCAAGGCGCTGCTGCTGCAGCTCACTTTGTTTTGTTTGCTTCTGCACATGTGGAGTCAGACATAGGAGATGAAGAAGGACCATTAAAGTTGAGCTTTTACATTAGAAAACTATGTTTAGGCGAGTTAAACCAAAGTTTTGCTGCGTTTTGACTGTCTAAGACAAAAAAGGTGACCTTCATTGAGAGTGCGTGAACAGAATGAGTCGCTTGTTTGAAAGTGGGTTCGGCTCTTCCTTAAAACTCTGACAAAAGGAAGGGTTTTTTTTTTTTTTTTTACGGACATGTTCTGAACGCTTGTTGCTTTCATTATTTATAAATCTGATAGTTGAATAAGTCGAGCTGAAGTTTACATTTTTCAAGTCCAACCTCTCTTACTATTTCCATCTACTTAATAGAGTTTAAAGCATGTATGTACCAGATGAGAGTCATTAGGAGGTCGTAGAAATGCACTGTAGAAGTGAGCTGCTCCAGAGTTGTACATGGTGTTGATTTCCAGGTACCTTCATTCATTTCCGTCTACCATGAACAAAGCCGGCAAGGTTCACCTGCCAGAACTGGTTTCTCCAGTTGATGAAAAGACTTTAAGTTGGGAACAAAAGTTTTTACTACTCTCTTCTCCCCTTTTTTTCTTTATTGTAATATCTGCCTATTAGTAAGATCTGGAGTTGCACACAGGTAATTTAGAAAATCAAATTATTAATTAAATGTTACGCTGTAATGAAATGACGATGCAACGAGCAAAGTTTATTTTAGACAGAAATCAAGGCTGCTAAGTCACGCACCCACAAACTTCTACAGAGTAGCATCTGAAAACAATTGCCAGAGTCTTGAAGTATAACTTTTGCTTTTCTTGGAGTTGGGGACGTTCGCTGAAGGCCAATGTGTTGTGGCCGACAGCTGGCCACACAGGCCGTGCAGCAGCGCGCTTGCATGGAGGATAATTACACGGCAGCTTGAAATAAAGGGTGTATACAGGCAAACAGCTCTTATGTACCATACAGTACGGTATGGAGCCATGCGGACGAAAGAAGAGGAAGGCCCAAATTACAGAGCGTTTTCTGCGGAGGAGACACAACAACCATCTCGTGTATGTTCTCATTTGGATGAGACCTGAACATGTTGAGATAAAACTATTTCACCAAGGCAAATGAAGTTTGCTTCAGATTTCAAACAACAGGAACTAACACTGAAAAAAAGACGAATCCAACACAACAGTTTGCACTCCAGTCTAGCTGGGTTCGTTTTAAGCAAATCTGATCCCTCAATTCCTTTTGTCTGGTCTGTGCCACACAAAGACGGCTTCATAAGAAACCTTTGATAAGTCGTGCACTGAACCGAGGCAGCGCGCGCTGCAGTAATGGCGTAGCTGTGTATACTTTGGATGCGGGTGCTTTGGAATCAGGGGCGTGGCACGTAACAGGGTCTGTTTGTTATATGGCCTGTTGATATCCTGCTGTGCCAGCTGGAGATCAAACGTGGGCCTAACATACACATCAGAACTCTTCAATTACTTTCATGTAACTAAACCAATTAGTGGTTCAGACTGATGTCATTAAAACTCAATTAGTTTGTTTGTATCTAAAACATTTTTGCAAGGCTGCTTTACTTTTTTGTTAGGAGATACTCATTCATACTGAGTAAGAAAATATAAAAAAATACTGTAAAGAGATGCTATGAAGAGTTAAAAGGAGGGGTGTGTAACTCTGGTCTTCAAGGCAAGCTGTCCTGAAACTTTTGGATGCATCGCTGCAGAATCAGCAGGCAGATTTAGCAAAACTTGCTCACATGCCAAGGAGGTAAACCAACCTCTTGACTCAGGTGTGTTGGAGCAGGAAGGCACCAAAAAGTTGCAGGACACGACACCTGAGGACCTCAATTGCAGATCCCTGGTTTAGAGTTTTAATTTGAGGTACTGGGATCAGGTTATACACTGTTCTTATCTTAAATCCAGATTAGTTTGTTGCAGATGCTGGAAATAATAGTTTATCTGACCAAAGCAGATCTCTATTGTCCTAAAACAACTCCAGTTCCAACAATATCACGTGGGTGTATCTAAACACCCACATGCTTAAAATCATCACCATGTTTGCATTCAGTGGTTATTTACACTGAAACTAACATATGTCTATACATTATATGGACCTAGGAAGAGACTTAACAGGTTACCTACTGCAGGAAAAATACATCTGGAGTTAGAACTAGGCCTGTCACAATGAACAATAAATCAATTAATCACATGATAAATTAAAATAAACTTAATAATTTTTATTTGCCTGATTTATCATTTTTCTCTTTTCTTTCTCTCTTTTTTTTAACCAAAAACTGAATGCTAAAAGTCTTCAGTCTGGTGTTTTGGTCTCAACTAGCAGCTGTTTTGAAAGATAATTTTGTCTACAGAGACGCATGATTAATTTTATTTGTTGCTTCAATTTTCTTTATTTATTTTGGATACTCAGAATGTCTTCCAGTTCCAGTCTGTAAATGTTAATTAGAATTTAAAGGTTATTGATCCTCGAGAATGTTTTCTTGCATTATTACTATTACGTTGCTTGAAAACGGATATTAATATTAATATTAATAAGCAATATTATCATTTATCGCAATAAGTTCTGGGACAATTTATCGTCTAGCAAAATGTGTTATCGTGATGGACCCTTCCAAAAGAATCTCACTTCAAAAATCCCAACTATTCCAATAAACCCGGGGGCTCTTTCCTGAGCAGCACTTACCGAGCACAGCCATGACCGTCTTGATGAGCTTGATAGGCGTTCTCTTGCGGTTGAGGGAACTGGAGGTGTGTGACATCAGCATCGTTGTCTTCCTCTTGACGTAAGCGTAGATCCTCATGTAGATTGCCACCATGGCAACAAAAATAATCAGGTTGGAAACCGACCAGAAAATCAAGTAGCTCCTGCTAAAGATGGGAGCCATCGCTGAGCAACTGTCCAGGCTACAGATGCAGTTCCAGCCCATGCTGGGCACCGCCCCCATGAAGATAGAGATGCTCCACACCAGGACGATCAACAAGGTCACCCTTCTCTTGGTCAGGTTGCTGTGGACTTTCCAGTTCATCACAGAGATGTAGCGCTCCAGCGCAATGACGAGAAGATTGGCCAGGGACGCCGACAGACTGACATCCAGAAGTCCTTGGCGGAAAAAGTACTCGCGAATAGTCAGCGTTGGCGACACGTCACCTGTGTTGAACATGAGGTACACGTACGCTATGCCCGCCAAGAAGTCCGAGGCAGCGAGGTTGGCAAGAAGGTAGTAGAAGGGGTAGTGAAACCTCTTATTGGTTATTACAGCAGCAATTACCATAGAGTTAGCAACCAGGATGAAGATGCAGAAGGTGGAGCCGACCACTTGGACCGTGATGAGCATGGTGCTGTTCAAGTTTTGTCTCTTACCGACTTTGTCGTAGAAGAACTGCATGCTCTCATTATAATGACAGTTATTCTGAGCCATTTTGTAGACCAATCTGTAAAAAGGAAAAGATGAAGTAGAATAATACAGAAATGACAAATACGGACTCAGTAAGAAGAAAATTTCTGCAGTTTGTGATTACTGAATAGCGCGTGTTTAGTGTAGGACTGAAGTTGAGACTTCTTATATTAGACGATTTAAAAATGTAATTGACTCTATTCAGCTGATTGAATCCCGCACTTGAGGAATTCAGGCAACAGGATAGATCAGGTTATCAGCCAAACATGCTGCAACAGATTTAACAAGAAAAGCTGATAAACAAGAAAGAAAGTTACTAGCACTGTGTCTGATTAGTAAAGTTTGACAAGATAATTACTTCTACCGTTTCAGAGAGAATGAAACCGGGCTGGCATGTCCACATCTTGCTGAAAACGCATTTCAAGCTGACAATACAGCCATGATCAAACACAAGGCTTTCTCTGAGGTCTGTTGCGCAACTTTACAGCTATTTGTCCGGCCAGGTCTATTAAACCCGGTTAAAGGGGAAGAAATCCAACCAGAACCCAAAATATTTAAGAAAACAAGAAAAAGATTGATTTTTTTTTTTTTTTTTTTTTTTTTTTTTGTAAGCTACAGCGCAGTCAAAACAACGAGAAACACAATGAAACAGGTGAGTTTACCTGTGGACGGACCGAGGTATTGTAAGTGCGTTGAGTTAGTAGAGTCAGAGTTGCGAAACCAGCTTCACTGTGTGATTAAGCATTGCAGCACAGTTGTTCCTGGCAGCTGTACAGAGAGGGACGTTGCAGCAGTGAGCCTCAGGAGCACAATGAAGACAGAGCAGCCGGAGTCTTTACTTTAAAGCTGCCTTCAGCTCGCCGACGCGGAGGGCGTGGCCCACCCACACGTTCAGCTGAATTCCCCTACCCTACGACATGCTGACCGGTTCACTCACGCAACCGAGACTAAAATGTTTTTATTATTATTATTATTATTATTATTATTTCACACTTTTTAAAGTCGGAAAAAAGTCAAACATCTTTGAATTAATTTCCAAATATGTTTCTTTAAGATGCCTCGTTGACCAACTACAACATGAGCACAAAGACTTTAGGGGAGTTGGTCCGGTTTGACTAATATTTTTATGGGTTTTTTCTTTAAGTATTAAAGTTTTCTACATGTTTTCCTGGGTTAACAGGACAAAAGGATACACTTCTTGCCCTTTAATTTCTTAATATGTTCGGGGGGTTTTTGTGTTTTTTGTCTGGTTTGCAGTTGTTGGTAAAAAATGTATTATGACTGCATAATAAACACACTATGCCAGTTTTGGTGAGTTAATTAGTGGACCATCAAGCATCGCTCAGTGCAAATTGAATTGGGAACCCATCATCTACCAATGAACCCCACTTTGAAATACTTTATTTGCACATTGTATATTACTGAGCCAACGATAACCTGCGTGAACAGTTATTTATGAAATAAAAGGCTCTTGAAATAAAACATTTTGTAAGGTAAACGTTGTAAATACATCAGGCCAAAAGGTGAATATTTCTTCATTCATACATGGAAAGTAGATGAGTTCTCTTTGAGAGGCAGCTCACATGCAAAATGAATGAAAACAGCAACAAATACTTGTTTTATTACTTTTAAATCAAGATATCATGCTTCAAATCATTCTTAAATTTGCTGGAATGAAATTAAAAGTTGCTTGAAACCCTCAACTTTTATAAACCAAGGTTCAGAGAGAAATGTGAGAATTTGAAAGCTTAAAGTCATCATGTTTCACATCAAAAGCCTCTGAACGTTATGAGAGTTTACCTCTTTCCTTTTTCCTCATTTTAATTCACAGCCTTTTACAAAATGTATTCAATTAGTTCCCCCAAAACCCCAAAGCAATTTTTGCAAAGAAATAAAATTTCCCATTAATGCAAACACTATGAGGCATTTTCACAACCAGTTTTACTCAAAACGGTTATGTTATGCGCATCAGTCAAAAAGCACATTCATGTTTCTACTTGCATCTTTGTGCGCCAAGCTGTAATTTCATGCAAAGACTTCTTTAAATGCCTGCGGCTGTTTATGCAATTTACTTACACAAGAAAAACACAAGTATAAGTTTTATAGCAAAATTTAATTCAACAGTTGAATAATTTACATCCTGCACTGCACAGGATCCATTTACGCAATGCCCTGAAAACAGTTCTTTGGCCTTGAAGTGCTTGTGGAGACCTAAAAAAAGGCCCAGTAAACTTTTGCGCCATACCCTGAAATACAATGGAATCTGCTACTATATTAAATAATTCATCTCAGTTCCAGGTCAGAGTCCAGATTTGTGTTTTCTGTAACACTTTATTGGATATTTTACCCCTGAACTCGACATGTGCCTGGATTTCTCTTTTTTTTTTTTTTTTTTTTTTTTTTTTAAAGGCAGGAACGTTTGAACTCTAAGACTCCCTCAAAGAAGGAACGTCCTGGTTCCAGAAACTTCCAAAAAGCAGCTCTCCGGGAAGTGGGCCTGCCTTCAGCTAATTAGTATGACATCATCAGGTGGTGGAGCCCTGCAGAGAGGAAACAAAGACAAAAAAAAAAAAAAAAAGACATGAAGCAACCGATCTCATGTGAAAGAACCGTTTGAATATCAACCGCATAAAATGAATAACGATTAATGGTGGATCTGAAATCATTACTTTCAGAAATCATCATTTTCATTCATTCCAAGGGTATAAGCCACCAAAGGTAGATCTCCAGATTGTTTTTTTTTTAAACATATTTTTAATTTAGTTTTAATAATAATCATGTCCACAGTTACACACTCCAAGGCAGTGTCCAGTACTGCAGGCTCACACAGTTGCAGCAACACACACGTTTCACAAATGTTCGTGATTCGTGGTTTTGACTGACGTCTTCAACAGAGCTGTGTAAGAGCTCTGCATGAGCAAACTGCAGGCTGCATGTTGGACAAGTATTAGTCTTTAATTCAATGAGAGTGTGACAAACAATCGTCCACTGATTTACTACACAGCACACTCTAGTGTTAGGTGGCTCTTAACTTCAGCCTGAGCTTGATGGCTTACAAGATTTGAAAAATGTGATGAAACTGCACCAAAAATCAATTATCGAGTCTAAACAGTTACACATGTGCAAATACGTGCAGAGGGTGAATAGGCAAACATGACAGGTTCTGTTTAAAGCTTTGAAAGTGAGTAAAAATCCTAATAACTTCATATCAGACAGAAAGATACAAGGCTTTTTTTTAAACTACATTTTAATACAATTAAACAGAATTGAGCAGTTATGTTGCTTTCAAATGGACTAGGTTATTTATTACGTGTAGTTCTTTGTTTATTCTTTAAAAAAAAATCCCAACTATATTTTGCCAGGTTTAATTTGTGAGTCTCCTAATTTCAGCTTTGTCTATTTTCTTTCAACCATAAAGCTGATGGAAGCAACACAAATTAATCGGATTTTTAACAATATGTATAGTTCAACTTAGTTAGTTTAAAATAATCTGATTATCCCACAAAGTGAAGACATGTCTGATCCAGCTCCTATAATAAAAAGGCTTATTTAGCTGTCAGAAAGCAACAGAATTTTTGCATCACGGCCTCTAAATGTCTTAGTCTCATTTAGAAAGTGAGGCGGAATTAGCAGTGGGATTTTATTACCGCACAGAAATGAGTGTGCAAAATGGTTAGTGGTGAACCTTACTGGATCTGTGCTTGCATCACCAAGTCAACCCAAAAATGACAGATGGCAAAATACACTTCACTCAGAAGTTTTAGTCTTTTTAAATCGATCAAAATCTCTGCTCACTATACTAAAACAGAGTAACAAATCCAGAAGGGTGAACGAGTCTTTTTTTTAAATAATGATTACTGCGCTTTCGCTAAATGCACACGTCTTCCTTAGCCAAAGCGTTTTGTCGTTTCCTAACAAAGTCAGTCCTTCTTGAATACACCCCAGGCCAGAACTGCCCACAAAAGACTCGGGAAGTCCTATGAGTATGTTGCACCAAAGTTGTCATAAAATATATCACAATTCAAACAAGAATCTGCTTGTTCAAACTGCTCTGGTACTCACATCAGTGTGAGTGTTCGGGAGGTCGTAGCAAAAGGTTATTACAGATCATTTATTGGAGGTTTGGAGCAATCATAGAGAGTCTTTCTATTTCTAGATATTCTACTGCCATGTGGATTCGACAGACACAAATCAAGCAGCATTGAGCAAATATATTTCAAGTGGGGTAGGATTAGATAAGAAAAAATAAATAAATATGAATTTTGCCAAGAGTAGGTTTCAAAAACATAAAAAGCATCTCGGATGCACACAGGAAATCCTGCTGCAAAGTCAAAGGAATAAAACAAAGGTTTGCACAACCAGGCTTCATAGTATTCCATGAATGTTCTTTTTTTTTTTAAATGCAGCTGGAACAAAATATGTTTTAACATTTATTTCGCAAATTTTCAGCTATGAAAAAGGGGAATTTTGTCTAAGACCAGCCATACTCATGCCACTGACCCACTCAGCCTCTCACTTCCACAAACATCCACATTTCAATCATGTTTTCGTTCTCCAGGGAGGAACAAGTCTTCTGAAAAACAAAACTCAAAGCTTTTGACCAAGAGGCATCTGTGCACAGCACAACATCCTCTTTTCCATTAAGCACTCACGTTTTAGCTTTTATTTTTATTTATTTATTTTTTGTTATTGGGACCAGCTGCTTTTATTGAACAGTAAATTGAAAAGAAATGGGGTGCAGAAATGGGGGGGGAAGACCTGCAGCAAACGGTCTGAGACAAGAACTGATTGTACCCCGAGGGGCAACAGAGGAGAAATAGCCTTCATCACAAAACCAACTTTTTTTGTTGTTTTTGGTCTTCATGGTTTTTTTTGTTCTTTTTGGTCTTCATGGTTTTTTTTTTTTACAAAAATAGATGGCTCTACATCCCGGTATTTGCTACAATTCTTGATTAAGTCAGAAAACTAAATAAATAATTTCAGACATACCAGAATATGCTCCAAGATTCTTTGTAAAAAGTATCAAATAGAAGTAAAGCTGTGTGTTTGTTGGGTTCTGTTTAAATGTAAAAGTCACAAGAACTGTAAGGTGAACTTGTAATTTTTAAAGTTTCCCTTCATCATCACATCACATATTGTCTTTAAATAAAAATGGAAACTTCTAAGAGCAATTAAACAAAAAAAAATAAAAAATAGGCAGATCCTTGCATTTCAACTTCCATCTTAAACAAGAATAAATGATAAATGCTGATAATAAATGAGTCCCATCATCAGCAGGTCAAAAAAAAAAAAAAAGAAAAGCTAACTGAATTCAGATCATATTTCATCCTGTGAGACGTCGCCATGTTTCCTCATCTCATCTATTCTCACACATCAAGACAAACGTACTCCGAAGATCAATTTAGTGAGTAGCAAGATGGTAACTGTCTCCAATTATACAGTCTGTGCAATTTGTCTTGGGTACTAATGACACAACTTACTCCATAATTGAGTTACACTACTCAGTCTTACATAATTGCTCCGTTACCGAAACTACACTTTAACCACTTAAGATCCAGAGCAGGAAACCCTAAATGGCCCAGAAATGGATCACAGCTCTAATAGGTCCAGGAAAAACAAATGAATTACAGGTTTGAGCACAAGAGTCTGGTGAGAGAAACCATATTGTGGTGATACAGCACTTTCCACAAGTATTGGCACCCCACGTAAAAAAAAATATATATATATTAAAAACCTTAGAATAAATGAGCTCTACGTTGCTATGGTGAAATCTTCTATGGTGACATTTACTGAGTGAAGGCAGAGGAAACCGCACATCAGGAGCAAATGTCCTTTTTTTTTTTA